GTTCAATACGTTTTCCCTGTGCCATTCCACATTATGACAAATAACTTCATTTCTGGACATTTATGGATCACTTGGGTTGTTACCAACATCTGGTGAAAATTTCATGTCATTAGCACCTCTAGTAATATATTTACTGAGAAAAATGTTGACGTGTTCAATACTTATTTTACCCTCTGTATTAAGTGCTGTACGACCCAGTAAAAGTTTTGCAGCGTTTTCTTTGCTTCATGTTTGACTTTGCGCAGATGTCCTCGTCTCTCTGCTCTGCTGCTCTTTGTGCTGCTAACTGCTGTTTTTTTTTTTTTTTCCTCAAATCAAGGTAACAGCAGTCGTGACAAGCAGCAGCAGCCTTTCAGGACCTCACAAATCCAAATATATCCATTTCCGGCGTATCTTAAATAAGTCATGAACCCATGTCTGTCACGAGTCAGTTTTTAACTTCAGGCGATAATTTTGCTTCATTTTTAAATCCTTGATCTCTGTCTGTTCTTAGCAACTGCAAATGCTGACAAAGACGAATTTCCTCCCATGCCAGTCTGAACACTAATCTGACTACTTTGCATCGTCAGCTTGCTTCTTTCCTTCCCTTTGTCATCCATCTGAGAATGTTCCAAACATAGCTTCATCCTTCCATTTAATCCTCCTGCTTGCTCCCCACTGACAGTATGCCTCTTTTAGGTTGTGTCACTCTACCACCAAATCCTTCAGGGTGCTCGTCGGCAGCACTTTTTGAACCCTCTCTTAGTTCAGGATGAACAGAGTGAGGACTGAAAAGCAGCTGCCTCTCTGCTGCCACCACACATAAGCAGAGAAATAGTTTTTTTTTTTTAATCTGCCAAACTAAGATGCTGTTGCCCCCTGCTGGTGTAGAATGAATCCAAACCAGCACACACCCACAGATCCAGCTGCACGTTTGAGCAGATCATTTASATGTGATTTCATTTTACTTGACATTAAGACAATCTCTTTTTKCCTACAAGGATTCGGCAGGGAAAATAAAGCTTAATTCTATCATAAAAAATACTCAAAACACAGCTAAAGGCTCTGATGAGACAAACTCAACATGACCCCCGCTTGTCCTTACACCACAAAAGGTTGTGTTTATCATTGTTGGAGCGAGGCAAAATGCTGCTGTTTGCTCCTGGCTGTGTCTGTGCACGACTATTTATATCCCAGCGTCACAACGCCCACACAGGAAGGAATTAAAGCTTGGCATCACAGATGACATAATCAAGCTGCTGAATGAAACTGCAGCACCAGTGGAAGAGGGGCTTTTCATCGAGATGGGATTATAAAACAAGAATGCACARGCAGGTGTGTCTATTGTATCCTAACATGATCACACACACACACACATAGATAGACAGAATCTCACCGTGCCTCTGTAACTCTAATATTTCCTAAWATGCTAAATATGTCACAAGATCATAAATCCCTTTTTATAATTCTTACCAGTGAATGTTGTCACTTAGTGCCCTTGGCGGGCCAAATGGGAGTCACCCGCAGGCCACATTTGGCCCGTGGGCCTTGAGTTTGACATGTGACCTTGTAGATAAGTCACACGCATATAAACACAATGTGTGACAGCTTTCATCCTCAACTGTGAATAATGTTGATCAATAATATAACATTTAAAGACCTCAGTTAGCGCTTCTAAATTTAGCCGATAAATTTAGCAAGTGCTAATCCAATAATGAATTTAAAAAAATAGCAAAAGTCCTAAAGCACTAATCCAGCATGTTTTACTTGTTTCCCTGCTCTTCAGCAGGACTTCAGAAGATTGTTAATCACTCATTCATTCAATCCAGGTGTGTCAAATAAGGGAAACATCTAAAAATCACTGCTTTAAATGTTGACCAACACCTTAAGAGCTTCTCTGAGCTTGATGAGACATTTTCAAAARATAATATTGACTTAGTTTTATGGTTTTTAGTATTGCCTCTGGAAGCTATTGATTCTTTGCCATTTATTTGTAAATAATAAATCAGATTAACATGTATTAAAGCAGTGATTCTTCTCAAGGACTCCTTTCCTGCATGTTTAAGTGTTTCCCTGATTTGACACACCTGGTTTGAATGAATAAGTGATTAACAATCTTCTGA